CCCTACTCCCTGTCGGTTTGAACTCTCATCAACGAACAGTCGAAAGGAGTCGCCGATGTAAATGCTGCAGAGTCTGAGTTTTTCTTCTTTCTTTTGTTCTTTCGCCTTTGCCTAGGCTTCTCCTTGCTTGTCTGGACATTGTTCATCCTGGCTCAACGGAACCCGATGTTCGATGGATTCTGGTGTAAACTCAGCCACGAAGTCGGCCAGAACCTGGCCTTTAATTGCTGTCCTTGGCCTGTACTCCAGGTCGTACTGGCCTAGGGTGACTGCCCACCTGGCTATTCTTCCTGTCAGGTCTCTTTGTCGCAATAAGGACTTCAAGGGGTGCTCTATTAGCACCACAAGTTTATGGGCCTGGAAGTAGTGGTTCAACTTCTTTGAAGCCATTACTAAAGCTAGTGCCAATTTCTCTAAGGGTAGATACCTCGTTTTTGCGTCGGCTAGGGTTTTGCTCACATAGTAAATAGCCCTTTGCTCCCCTTTTTCTTCTTGGATTAGTACTGCACTTATCGCATGTTCTGAAACGGCTAAGTACAGGAACAACTCCTCCCCAGGTTCTGGATTTGAAAGAACTGGAGCTGTGGTCAATTACTTTTTTAGGTCGGCCAAAGCGGCTTCGCATTCTTCTGTCCACAGGAAGTCTGTGGCTTTCTTCACCAAGTTGAAGAAAGGTCTGCACTTATCTGAGCTTCTGCTGATGAATCTGTTCAGGGCTACGGCCCTTCCAGTTAGCATCTGCACCTGTTTTGCCGATGTCGGGCTCTTCAACTCTAGGATGGCCTTGATTTGATCTGGGTTGGCCTCGATGCCCTTTCTAGTCACCAGGTATCCTAAAAACTTACCAGATCCAACTCCAAATGCACACTTTGATACATTGAGTCGGAGCCGATATGTTTTAAGGATTTCAAAGACTGCTTTTAGATCGGCGAGATGACCCTCAGGCTCCTTGGTCTTAACGACCATGTCGTCGATGTAGACTTCTACTGTTCGACCAATCAGGTGTTTGAACATTTTGGTTACCAGCCTTTGGTAAGTTGCTCCTGCGTTTTTCAACCCAAAAGGTATTACTCTGTAACAGTACAGGCCTTTTGGGGTGATAAACGTGGTCTTCTCTTCGTCTGGAGGGTACATGGTTATCTGGTGATACCCCCTGTAGGCATCTAGGAAACTAATTCTTCCATGCCCTGAAGTGGCATCTACTAGCTGGTCAATCTTGGGCAGAGGAAAGCTGTCTTTGGGACAGGCTTTGTTGAGGCTGGTGAAGTCTACACAGACCTATCATTTTCCGTTCTTCTTCTTCACCACCACTGTATTGGATAACCATGTCGGGTAGTGAACTTTTCTAATGGCTCTGTCCTCCAGAAGTTTGTCTACTTCTTCCTCTACTGCTTCGACATGTATCAACGTCGGTCTTCTGGCTCGTTGAATTATAGGTTTGGCCGTCCTGTCAACATTCAGTTTGTGGCAAGTGACCTCCGGGTCAATGCCAGGCATTTCATAAGGTGTTCAAGCAAACACCTCAATATTTGCTCTAAAAAAAGCTTCCAATTCTTTTTCCTCTTCTTCGACTAGGCCCGAGCCGAGAAGAAAGAAGCGTTCTTCATCCCCATCCTGGACGAGGATTTTCTTCAGTACCTCTTCGCTCTTCTCAGCCCGTTCCTTGCCGACGTCTTCTAGGACTTCCATGTCCTCATCTTCAATTTCTGCCTTTTCTAGCTCTCGTATGCTGCAGGTAGATTTCATTGCTGCCATGGAGCAATTCTTCGCCTGCAGCTAATCGCCTCTGACTTCCTCTATCCCATGCTCTGTTGAGAATCGCAATAATTGATGTAATATTGAGGGAACTGCCCCCATTGCATGTAACCATGGCCTTCCCAAGATGATGTTGTAAAGGGAGGGTGTGTCGATGATGGTGAATTCTGTTTTGATCTTTCTGGTGCCAGCCTGCACCTCCAAGCTTACTGTTCCCAGGGGCCATGTCGGCGTTCCACTAAACCCAACCATTGGGCCATTGGATTGTTCCATATCATCTGGGTGAAGGCCGAGCTCCTTGTAACATCGGACGTACATGATGTCAGAAGAGCTGCCTCGGTTAATCAGGATGCGTTTCACTTGGCACTCCTCAACCTGGAGGGATACTACCATGGCATCATTGTGCGGATGCTGGACCGTCTCTAGGTCGGCTTCAGTAAAGGTTATCATTGGTCCCTGGCACTCTTCTGCCCGATGTCTTTTGTCCCCGACTTGGTAGACATGTTGTAGGTGCTTTACCTTCTGGGTCTCTCCTCGGATTTCGTTTTCGTTGACCTTTGAGTAGATTACGTTGATTATCCGAGGTCCCCCTGCCTGTGGCTGTTGTGCTGTGAGAGGTGGGGATGTTGGTGCCTGAGGCAATCTTGCCCGTTCTTCCCTTGTCCCGGTCTTATCGACAAGGCCTCTCAGATGTCCTTGTCTCACCAGGTCTTCCAAATGTGCTTTCAGGGCTCTACAACCCTGAGTCGTATGCCCATCTTCATTGTGGTAGGTACAATGCCTGCTAATGTTTCTTCCCATGAATTCTCCTGGAGTCCTCTCTGGCGTTCTGAAATAGGGCTGGTTCCGAATTTGATCCAGGACTTTATAAATTGGGATTCGGAACACAGTTGTCACTGCTTGTGTGGCCCTCAGTTCTGCTTCTTGTTTGTTCGATCCATTGTTACTTTGGCCTCTCTTCGGCGAGCCATTTCCTTTCTCTTGTTTTATCTCCTTAGCTCCCGACGTGTCTTCTTCAGCTCTGGCATACTTCTCGATTCTTGCCATGAGTTCTTCCATACTTTTTGGCAATGTCTTTACCAAAGACTTTCATAGTGGACAGTTGTCTTTCAAGCTGTTCTTGAAAGATACGACTGCCACCTCTTGATTACATTCGGGTATTCGATTGAACACCTCATAGTATCTTTTTGCATAGGCCCTAAGGCCTTCATCCTTGCTGATCTTCAGAGCCATCAATGCGTCCACCCTTAATGGCTGTAGCTTGTTTGTCACGAACCTAGCCACAAACATCTCGGCCAGGTTTTCCCAAATCTTCACGCTTCCATTCGATAGTTTGTGGAACCAATCTGATGCAATCTCCCCGAAGGATGAGAGGAACACTTTGTAGAGCAACGGCTCGTTCCCACTATACAATGCCATTGAGTTCAAATACAGTCCAACGTGGAAGTTGGGGTCGACTTACCATCGTATATTTGAAACCTCGGCATACTGAATCTCTTCAGTGCCTCAAACCTGTCTAATTCCACCGATAATGGTGTTCTCGGCTTATCTGGGGAGGTTACCTCGCGTCAGCATTCTGTTGCCTCCTCTTGAGGTAATCCCTTAAGTCTTCTTTGCTTCGCCCAAGAGCTCGGCTATCTTTCGACTTTAATCTTTTCAGTATACTACTCTCGGCCTCGTGGTGAGCCCTTTTCGACCCTTCTCCATGAATTGTGTCGAAGCACAGTGTCTGCCCCTGAACATGCCGATGTCCTTTGGGGTCTACCTCCTTTGTGTGATGCGTCCTCCGTGATTCTTCTCTTCTTGATTCTCGTTGTTCGACTTCCCTAGAAGGCGGTGAGAGTATCTTTCGCTCCCGTTGTACTGAGGGGCTATGGGAATTGTTTTCTGCCCTCCCTTCTGGGTATTGACCGCTGGAATCGGCGTGTCCTGCAGCGAGAATGGTGGCTGCATGACGTTATTTTGCATCATGAAATTGAGGACCGACTGTAGGTCTGCCAACTTGTTTGCCATATCTCTTACCTTTTCGTCCCTCCGTAGGCATCTATCATTCCATACCTGGAGGTCGTCTTCGTTGTAGTACCCACTTTGATCTAGTTTCTTTGGTGCGTCGCCAATCTGGCCAACGTCTTTTACTCCGTGATTATGGTCACGAGTTTCTGCGTTACATTCGTCTCCTGTGATATCAAGGTCAATTGGTCTCCCACTCCCAGCAGGAGTGTCGTCCCCAACCTTTTCTTTTTGTCCATTACTGGCCATCTATTCTCCTTTCTTTCTCACAGACGGCGCCAAATTGTGTGAGTGATTTTCTGACCACACTACCCGCTTAGTAACCAGCTGGAGAGCACCGGCAGAATAGATGACACCTGGCTAACCTCTAGCAGAAAGAGAAGATTCCGGCGGTGGTTCGTCCACCCGGGGGCATTTCGATGATCAAGTCAGTATATCTCTCAAAGATAATCAATAGTGTTTAACTCACTAGACAGAATATAAATTGCGTACCTTAGACCCACGAGGCTGCCTCTCTTTTATAGCTAACTTAATCCTAGTCCCAATAGAAACCTGACCTCTATGGACTCCTGTTCAGTATATACTTCGGACTTCTCAAGAGATATGGATAGATTCCATAAAAACATTATTTTTATCCATCTTGAAGTCTTCCCTCATTCTAGGACTCTTGTCCTTTATCCGCTTTTCTCAGACTCTGGTATCTGCGGAGATAACCTCGGCTTAACCGAGATTACCTCGGCGTCATGACCTGAACACGTGGCAACACGTCGGCGTCACCTTACCACGTGTCGGTACTCAAAAATATGTCCCCACAATAAGTATTTTTGTGCTATAAATAATTATTAAAAATATTGAGAGATATATTTCGGGGTGATATAAAATTGTGGGAAAAAAAAATATCTCTTGTTTTTTTGGGATAAAATAAATGAAACGACGACGTTCATGCTTACTATTGTGTAAATCATAAAATAAAATCCACACGCGTAAACGACGCTGCTTTAACCCATCTAACTGTGCCCGTCGGCATGCAAGAAACTATTCCCTGTATCGAATCCCCTCATAACTCCAATACACACCAACTTCAATCTCTTCTCTCGCACCATCATCAACCAAATCACTTATGATCATCAACCCCGAAGCTGATCAACGGCTTCTGATCCCCAATGAGGACCACTCATTCCAAGTCAATATTATACGAAAACAGACCTTATCAATTAACCCAACAGCTATATATATTTATGGCTAATTTTTCGAGAGACTTGTGTGTAAATAGATAGAAAGAATAGATTCACTGAGAGCTGTGAGAATCACTGAATAGAATAGACTTTGGCGGAGGCGCAACATGGCCACTGAGGAGCCCAAGAAGGTGGTGATAGCTGACGTGTCCACGGCGGAGCCACCGCCGGCGGCGGAAGCACCGCCGCATGTGAAGGACGTCGTTCAGGAGAAAGCTGTGATTCCTCATCCACCTCCGCCGGTTGAAGAGAAGGTCGATGAGCACAAAGCGATTGTTGTGGCCCATAGTACTCTCTCTCTCTCTTTCTCTCTCACACACACACACACCTCGATACAGTGTGTTATCTCGTTTTTGCTTTTTTGACGGTGTGTTTGATCGAGTTGTAGATATATGGCGTAGTTACAAGAGATTTGATTTTCTATAGTCATCTGTTTGGTTGCCGGGAAAGCGAAGGAAAATAGTATATATATATAAGTTCTTTTTCCGCATTAAAAAATAAATGCTTAAAATATCTCTTCTTTCCTTATTTTTCAATAATAAATTGCTGTCAATTGATTTAAACAAATTTTAAATTTAGGTTGAAAAGCAGATTCTCAAAAATATATTTAAAAAAAAAAAAACTGTGAACTGCCTAGAAATCTGAAAGTTTCGAATGTTTGCTGATGTTCTATGGAAGCTACCAAAATTGATGTATTAAGCTCGATTTGGAAAATTTCATTGTGTAACTTTGGTCTTATTGCAACTTTTTTGTTTTTTTGTTTTTGTTTTTGTTTTTGTTTTTGTTTTTTTTTTTGTTTTTTGAGAGAGAGAGAGAGTTAATTGAATCAAAAGCTATTCATTCCAATAGGAAAATGTTTGGTGGCCACAAATTTTGTGGCTTAAATGGTCCGAAAATGCCAAAACGACGTCGTTTTGATATTTTTGGAGTTGTTTTGTACCCAAAACGACGTCGTTTTGACATTTTCGGACCATTTGAGGTACAGAATTTGTGGCCACCAATCATTGTCGATTTCAATAATACAAGATTGTGGTTTTTTTTTTTAATATTATGTATTATCAGATTAATAAAATACATGAATAGGGAGACTCATTAAATCAGTGATAAGATGATAAATAAATTAATGAAAAAATATAATTATCATAACATTATTGGATATATATATATATATATGGAGTTGTGTGTGCAATGGCTATCACCATCACACTTTCTTGTTGTGGAATAATTACTTGCAAATTGCAATTAGAACTTTTAATTTGTTTAATTAAGCACTAAACGAGATATTTTATATTTGCACCTTTATATGCATATCTTGGATAACTTTATCATCATTTGATATTTACATATATGTCCATTATTCCAAATTACAGACTTAAACTTTTTAAACAAAAAAATGTTACTTTACTAAAAGAAGCATTAAAATTCTATATTTATATTTTTAAAAGAAATTAATATGTCACTTTCATATAAAGCTTATCTTGGATGCCAAAATGCATCATTGAAAACATTACATCTGTTGACTTTATATATCATTACTTCAGTAGGATGCCAATAATCTTAATTACTGTTCTATATTGGATTTTTAATTTTATTTTTGTATATTATTGCCTTGGTGAAAGACAATTAAATCAATTAAAATCTATTCAATTTTTCTTGCCAATAGAAGATTAGTTACATATTATTATAGCTCGATAAGAACTTCGATCATAGATATTAGCTACCTCACATCCTTTGGATTATGTCAATTGAAAAGAGTTCTTCTATGTCTATAGATTCTGATTACAGAACCGGACAAAATTCTCTCACATGAGATATGACTCACATTTGGTAGGTTCAACCCCATATGCGAGAGTTATGTTCAGTTCTATAATTAGATTCTATTCACTTAGAATTTTTCATTTTTTAGTATTTGTGATGAGAGTATAGAAAGCATCTACAATACATGTCCTAACTCCACAGGTGGTAAAGGTAAATAGTTTAATTCACTATGTTGAAATTGTTGATTGATTAATTAATACCCATCTATAATATTAACCCCCAACTCCATTGTTTCGTCACCATTCTTTCATATGCTCAATTTGCCAAAGCCTTTCATGCAAATTGTGGAAAATAAAATTACATGAAAATCATATCCCTCCTATGGTATTTTTTGGGACACCAGAGGGCTTTATGGACTGAAGGCAATTGTATGAATGGATCGCCTTAGAGACTTAAAACTGTTTGGCATACTTCTCTTGGCTTGTGACTCTGATTACTAATGTTTTGCTCAAAACTTGGGCATTAGATATTGATCAAGAAAACTTCTATTGTCAAGGATTTAACTGTTTAAATGCTTCCTCTTTGTAGAGACTGAAGATCCTCCAGTGAAGAAAACTTCAAGCACTTCACTTGACAGAGGTCAGTGACTAGATATTGGGAAAGCAGCTTAATTACTCTAGTTTAAAAGTTGGTGATAGTTTAAGAACTCGGTTTGGTTTCATTTTCAAAATCTGCTTCTGAATATTATTGTTATTTTTTGTTGAAAATAGAGGCGTAACCTAATTAGTATTCAAGTGATTACGTTTTTGTATTGTAAAACACAAGTGACTCATTTTATTTCCATGTGGGATGATTGGATTCTGTGTTTGCAGACATAGCCCTAGCAGATGTTGAAAAAGAGAAAAGACTGTCATTTATCAAGGCATGGGAAGATAGTGAAAAATCAAAGGTGGAGAACAAGTAAGGCTTTTTTACTAACTTGTCTTCTTCTTTATCATGTGAAACTTCATAAACTGTTACTAACTTCCTTATTATTAGCTTCTGTTTTTTGCAACTCAAAAGTTATTTGCTACGTTTCTGTGATGATTTTTAATTGTTGAGGTTTCATCTTCATCTTCATTGATTGAACAGGGCCCAAAAGAAGCTCGCTGATGTCGCTTCATGGGAAAACAGCAAGAAAGCAGAAGTTGAAGCTAAACTGAAAAAACTAGAGGTAACCATGTCCCTTTATTTCCCAATTTTTGACTTGCATATGAAATTTGGCATACTTTTAAAAAAAAATAAAATCTTTTTGGCTTATTTATAAACTTGCCTTGAACACTATGATAACTAAATTATATAATTTAGTGGTGAAATGAACAAGACAAGGGGCCAGAATATTATGTTGACATAATTGAAGTTCATTTTCCTCTTGTTATTTTAATTAGTAGCCATACATGTAGAAGCATTCAAAATTTGATTTTGTTTTATCCATATTATGTATCTCTTAGGAATTGTAGAGCAGGTAACCAAGATCGGTGAGACACGAAAAATAAAGAAGACAATAAATAGGAATTGCAAATTACACACAAAAACACAAGATGTACCTGTTTCATTTACGATCGTTGAGATTTCACTATCATTAAAAAGGATTTACAAACGAGAAGAAGAAAAAGAAATACCTGGTTGATCTCTCAAATCTTCTTGTTAGGAGCTCAAGCTCCTGAATTCTTTTGGTGAACTGAAAAGCCCAAAAAGAAAAAGAAAAGAAATACTGACGATGATATTTTGACTAGATAAAATATGAATACTTGCAAATTTCCATCAGTTGATTTTTGAGTTCTTTGTTCAACATTTGACAATCCTTCTTATGAGCAGGAACAATTGGAGAAGAAGAAGGCAGATTATGCAGAAAAAATGAAAAACAAGGTTGCTTTACTGCACAAGGAAGCAGAAGAAAAGCGAGCAATGGTTCAAGCAAGACGGGGTGAAGAATTTCTCAAGGCGGAGGAGTTGGCTGCAAAATATCGTGCAACCGGAAATGTTCCAAAAAAGGTCATTGGCTGCATTGGCTATTGAAAATCTCTCCTAATTTTCAAGCAAAAAAAAAAAAAAGCATCAGAGATTGATTAAATCTACATCAATAGACATTAAAGCAAGCACCAGCAACCAGCACATTCAAAGCTTTAAAACGAATAAAAAGAGAGGAAGAGAACCAGCGGCAGTATGCGAGAAAGGCCACGGACAGACCCACGCCACGTTGAGGGGGCGGCGTGGTCATCGCTAGTCGGTTACGGTTGACAGGTGCAACGGCGGTGTAAGAACTGCGCGTGAGACAGACGAGCTGCGTGAGTTGAAATGATCACGCACGGGACAGCACCACGGCGGGTTCGTGCAGAAGCCGACGGTCCGTAGGGTGGTGGCCACTTCAGTAAGAACGGAGAGCTGCCGCAACGCTAGTGGTAGCCGAAGCTTTGGCCGCCGACAGTGTGCAAGAAGGTGCGGGTCTTCGGCTGTTTGTTGAAGGAGGGCACGGCAATGGCCTCTGGTATTGTAGCAGCAGACCCTCATTAAAGAAGATGAAGTCTGGGCCTCTAGAGAGAGAGAGGTGAGTGAGAAGTGGGTGTGGCGGCTGTGCAAAAGTTGGTGAGCTAATTAGGGTTTTGCCATTTCCTTAAATAGAAAGAAAGAGGTATAATTGTGCAAAAGACACGTGTCCGGTTGTCGATGAGATTTTGGACCTCATGACGAAGGCGGTAGCAACGGTCGGTGCCATGACCGCGCTGCTGATGGTACATACAATACTTGGCGGGGTTATGTCTGGCTGGGAGTGGGTTGGGAAGAGGTTGAGGATCGAGGGGTTTGAGATGCCCTTTTTCCATCAAGGCTTTCAGTGTGCTAGTCAGGCTCATATAGAGGGGGGTGAAAGTTCTACCCTGAGCTCGGACTGGGCCAGCTGTTTGTAGGCTTGGTTTGGCAAAAGGGTCGGCTGTGGTGACCGTATTGATTTCGGTGGGTTTGGGAATGCTACTACCAGCGTTGGTACTCCTTGAAATTACCTTCCTTGTCAGTTCCCTTGTCCTGGGAATGATCCCGCTGTTGAACGCATTCTCGACTTGAACCCCCAGTTCATGCAAATTTTTGAAAGTGAATAGTGGAACGACTATCAACTTTTGCAACATATCATGCTCGAGGTTTCGCACCATCATCTGCACTTGATCCTTCTCAGAAGGGCGACGATCTGTCATTTGTGCTGCCTTGGCTCTCCACCTTGCAATGAATTCCACAAAAGGCTCTGTTGGGTTCTGGCGAGTTGCTTCAAGCTCTTGGATGGTCATTTCAACTTGGGTATTGTAGGAATACTGATCGACAAAGGCCTCAGCCAGTTCTTCCCAGTTTTGCTTCACGGAATGTACTGCCATTTCATTCAGATTCCGTCACAACTAGCACACGGCAGAAGCGAACATAGAAGTGCAAAAATTACTGCTGTTTCATTCAAATCTGTTGGTACAACTGGCTCCCTGGCAGAAACAGACTCAAAACAAAATGAAAAAACAAACACAAAACAAAATGATGATGTCCGAGGTAACACCCCCGGAATCACCTGACTCTAACAAAACAG